TAAATAATTAGTACTATAAGTATATCCTTTGCTATATTTAGGACACAGTAAAAATTACAATAATGTACCACATAATGTTTCAGTCAAAAATGGGCTGCATATAAGATGACATATCATACAGTCCATGTGTGTAGTAGGTTCTATCATCTAGTTTGCGAAAGCATGCTGTGATGTTTGCACAGTGACAAAATCACCTAATGATGCATTTCTCAAAACGTATCTCTATTGTTAAGTAATACACGACTGTATTTGTTTTTTACAATTTAGATTTACCTAGGAGTCCTGTATTTTATCTGGAAACCATATTCCAAGGATTTTAATAGTCATAGTTCTGTCTTCTTAGCTTCCCAACTGAGCCCCAACCTCAGCACCACTCCTTACATTTCAGCTCTCTGCTTCCTAGACAGCAGCACTAATATGAAGTTCTAAGACCCAAATGTACTTTTCTCATCCTCCTGTCATCTCTCTAGTACTCAACTGCAAAAACTGATATTATTTTCTGACACTCTGGTTTTATTTTTATATCTCCAGTCCCTTTTTTTCTAATCATTCTCAATAGAAGTGACTCATCCAAGAGTTTTATACAAGAGAAGTCAGAACACTCAAGTATGCTACAAAAGCATCTGAATAAATTTCATTACAATTTTACATAAAGAGAATTGGAGATTAGGAAGGGATAGCTGTATTCAAAATTACAAGTGTGACAATAAATGAAGATAAAAATATTATGCCACATCACAAAGGAATCTTTGTGTAAATTAAAATAATTTAAATGTATACCAATGTTCTGTAACATCTGTCAGTTAGAGGAGTAATGACAAGTCGAGGTGAGTTGCCAAGATATTCATAAGCATATTTTACATTGCAATTAATGATGTGAACACAAGCATTCTCATATTCCCAGTAATAACGAAGCTGGGCAAGCCACTGGAAATCAGTCTCATGTGAAACAGCTAGAAAATATAAAACACACAATCTTTAAATGGAAATAATTTGAAAAATAGGTATTTTATAATCTTCTATAACAAATATTAAAATAATGTTTCCTAGAAATATCATGCAAATGAAATTCTACTGAGAAAGACATACAGTATATGCCTTTGTTTCTAGAAACTATCAATATTTTACCTTTAATATTAAACAAATAGTCACATACCCATTTCAATCATGTCCATGACCACATCTCTAGCATGGACATCAATTGTAACCAAAGCCCCCAGAGTGATCCTGTTCTGCTTAGATAGCTTTCCTCTTACCAACTCTACAATATCATTTAGTTGATGCTGGAGTTCCTTATAGTACTTTTTTAATCCCTACAAAATAAGAAAGCAATTTGATTCATGTTTTATATTTACCTAAAACACGTATTTTATATATTTATTCAATTATAGCTTCATAACCTATCTCAATATAGAAATGAAATATAGAATACAGTGATTTTTATCTAACCTAGTAAAAAGAATTGCATAAGAATTGCATAATTTTAATGCTATATATAGAAATTGAGAATAGAATAGACATGCCGATCAAGAACTATAGATGAAAAAAAGAATGTTGTTTAAAAATCAAATAATGCTTTACCTCTGTTCCACCACTTATAACTTCTTGGGTCTCAGAAGTCCAGAACATTTGAGAAACACAAAGTACAACCTGGCCAGGCCACTCTCTAACCCAGTCTCTTCTCGCAGATTCTGGATAAGCCTAAATAATGAAAATGAATTTCTAAGTTCAAAAGACTGCAAGAGGAAAAAAAACCCTAAATGTATAACAATAAAAAAGTAAAATGTCTGCTATATTTGCAAGTCAGAATAACATTTAGTCATGAAACACTTTAAAAGATTATGTAAAAGACCTGAATAATGGGGTGATCACAAATACAGTTAATGTTTAAATAAAACATTTTATTATAGTAAAAGACACATTTCCATTAATCTCCCTCAAAATACTAAAAAAACTCCCTTTTGCTTTGAACACACTTATCCCATTGTTCTTGGCAATGTGTCTTTTACTGTAATAGGGTTTGTTTTGGGGTTTTTTGTTTTGAAACAGGGTCTCATTTTGTAGTTCAGGCTGGCCATTAACTTACGATATAGGCCAGGCTGGACTCCAGCTCACAGCAATTCTCCTGCCTCAGTCTCTCCAGTGCTGGGATTACAGTCATGTGCCACCACACCTGGCTTTGTAATAGGTTTTTAAAAATTTAAAACATTTATCATGTGTTTTGATCCCCCTTTGTACTTTTATAAATCATTATTCTAATTCTGAAATATAATTTAGTTATAAAT